TGCGCGGCACGATTCTCGCTCACACCTTCAGGAACATTTCTACGCATCTGAACGCAAATGAGAATATTTGCTACACAAAGGACCACCAAGAAGACGAAAAGTACTGGAGCTAAAATAAAGACAACAACGTTACTTTCATGGTAGAGAAAAGCGAAGAACATTGCAGACATTAATCCTGATGTTATCCATACAAATGCAATGCTGTAGATGTAGCTTCTGGTGCGTAAAGTACGGTGACGGAAAGGCCAGCAGACTGCATAGAGGCGCTCCAAAGATATCACCAGTAAACTGAGCAGAGAAGATCCTTCACAAAACACTTCCCAGGTGGAAAGACTTAAAACTCTAATGTTGAAAATTCATAGGTGGTAAAAACTTTAACTTGAGTGCTTAAACCAAGGGAGATGCCGATGGCCACAGCAAGATCGGCAACAGCTAAATTTACGAGAAGATACGATGTTCGTTTTAGCTTCGCCCGATGCTTCCAGAAGACAAAAATGGTGAAAATATTACCCAGAAGTATAAGCGCTTCTTCCAGTAGATAAATCACACAAAATGTCGCAGCTACAGGAAAAATCTTTTTCAACTCTGAGATATCTGCGAAATTCATCTTCTTCAGACTTCTATAATGGGGCGAAAGGTTCTGGCTTTTGTGAACAAGAAGTTAATCTCTTCTTCTCTGTGGACTTGTTCACTCGCAAATGGATATTTGTTTTGAAATCGAAAACAGACATTTACTTTTATATCTGGATCAACAAACTCGCTTTACCCGGGATGTTGTGGGAAGGTAAGAGAGTTACCCTTTCTACTAAACCATTGCATTAATCCTGAATTCTGGATCAGACCGAACCGGGAGACTTTTCCAGAAACATTTCGCTGCTTTTATGCAAATGAACCTAGTTCTATGTACAATCAAGACTAGCGAATGTTTGTTTAGCTTAGAGTGTACATTGTACAAGGTTATAATACCTTGAAAAGTGCGCCTTACATTAAAAAAAATATATTTTAATGCGAGGAAAAGCCGAAATTATCATTGTTATTTTTATCAATGCTGAAGACGGAGAAAAAATTTCTAAGCAAGATGTGTTTCCAGTTTTTTTTTTCCAAACTCAGATTGGTTTGAAAAATAATACTAGTTATTGAAATTAATAAAGTTTCATTCACACTGGATGGTTTTATTTCAGCCAGTTCATTTGAAATTATCTGTTGTGTATCAGCTGTACTTTAAACAACGCTTACCATAATAGCGTTCGCAGATGACGATGATGTTCCTTATTCTCTCTCAAATAAAAGTTATTCCCAATGATGATTAGGGGGGAACAACGTCTTACGCTAACGGTTCTTGATATGGAGAAAAGCTGAGATGTTAAAATACTGTCTTTTTTTTTATACCGTCTTGCTTATGATAAGCAAACTTACTTAAAGTCAATTAATCGGAAGTGCAGTAGATTGATTATCAGGAAACTTCTTAAAACCTTTTTGTTGAATATGCCGCAGTTTTATCATGAGATATCTTGATTAAAAACTGACTTGCCAATTACTATACATCTGTTATTTATGGTGTAGGAATGATAAAATATTGAAAGCAACTCAAACGGTGTACATCTTGACTGAACTCAGCTAAACATTGTAAAGTAAATTCCAATTTCAAGCAAAAATGGAAATTTTGGCAGCGGTGATATTTTGTGCGGTTTATTCTTTGGAAACCGTGTTAATATGTCTGGGAAATATTTTTATAATCTTTATCTTCTGGAAACACCGAGCAAAGTTAAAACGAACTTCGTATCTCCTTGTGAACTTGGCTTTCGCTGATCTGTTGGTGGCCATCAGCAGTTTATACTTCCTCAGCTTTGAAGTACGAGATGTAGTTGAAGATTATTATGAAAAGATACAGCGATGGGAATTTGCTACTTTGACAAGCTGGGATGTGTTTTGTGGAGCATCCTCGTTGCTCAGTTTATTAGTGATAGCATGTGAACGTCTCTATGCTATTCGATGGCCTTTCCTCCATCGAGCATTGAGCACGAGAACTTATATCTACAGTCCCGTGTTTGTATGGATTACTGCTGGGCTTGTTAGTGTCTTTTACCTCACAATGTTCACGGTCCTCCCTGAAATTAGCGACATAATTTCCGTTGTAAGCACTCTTTTTATCCTGNTTTAAGGTGACTAAAAGTGTCAACAACCTGTACTTTTCATCTTCCGCACTGAATTTATAATCAATTGACTCGTGTGAATAACACTTAGTTTTTCTGGGGGCGGAACTCGTGTACACCCCTTCTTCCTCAAATCCTCTGTTTGTTCTGCTGTTATGTAACAAACTTCAAGCGCTGACTTCGTTTTAGATATATTTTTAAGTGCAATTCATTAGAATTTCAATGGTTTCTACGCAACGGTTTCTTTATCATTTTTCTATTGCCAATCTTGTTCTTGTTTTACCAGAACTAAACTGGAAATGTAAGAAATTTAAGGTAGAAAATTATTTTGTAACTACGTAAACAACTCGAAGGTACATACTTACTATGCAGGAACTGCTTTACGTAACTTAACGTGATTCGCTAGCTAAGATAGAAACGATGACGGTGCAAGATGATTGACAGCTTGGTAAGTGTCACCTTTATAAGCTGGTGAACAACATTTTCACTCAGAAATGAGCTAGTACCGATAGCTGTACATTGTATGAAGAGATCAAAGTAAGCCATAAAGAAGTATCGACTGTACAAGAGTATTAGACTATTGTGAAACAAAGCCGCAGTACTATCACAAACTATTGTTTATGCCACTGATTTCTTTGTCTAAGAACAGTGAGAAGTATGTGTTCTGTAGATATCTTACCAAAACATATTGCGAGCGTTGTTAAAAGCAATTAATTTAGTATTTTAATTTCTGAGAAGACAAAAGAATACAGCTAAAGGAAAACGAACAAGTTTTTGTCTCAAGAATAAATAAACTTTATTTACATTAATATGTGGATAAAAGATAGCGAAAAGAAATATTTTGTCTAACACATAAACCATTTTTAATGATCTTAACTGTTAATATAATACCTTATTGCTCGTGATTGGGAGGTCCTTCAAGAGTTTACCGTTTAGATGTTAGATGCAGCTTTTAGACACCCTTCAAGACACAATATGCCTAATTTAAAATTGTGAGGTAACTGTACGCTATACACTGCCGCTAAATTTGTTTATATAACATTCTACCGGTGCGAAAACGTGATTGTTCCTTCTCCAAAGACTATTCAATATTTGCTGTGCTTACAACTCACACACAAGAACAAGACAAAAAACCGGAAATTAATTTTTTAACATTAAAGGTAATCAGCAGTCTGCTAAAGGAAGTTCTTTAATTAATCGTTACCACAGTTACAGCATTAGTACCGACGGTATTGTTATAAAGTCCAGTCTTAAAAAACCTTTGTCCTTGTAGGAATATGACTTAAGGCGCAGGCCCATTCTTATCAGCGCTTGACAAATCATTGATATCCTAACTATGCCAATCAATTGTTCCTCAACTCCAGTTTGCAGTGCGCCTTGATGTTACCTGGATTATAGATAGGAAAATGTAGGGTTCAAGTATTCGCTGGTCACCACAAGGTACATTTGTTCTGCGGGTTCATGGCGGATCCTGGCTTGCAGTTAAAAACCTCTGCGAACTTGTCGTAATTATGGAGTGTGCCGATAATTCTATGATAAGAGAGATGAATAATACAGACCTTAATATGGGTACGATATCTCGCCGGCACTCGGCGGAATTGCAGCGAAATGCCAGTTGGTTATCAGGCGCTATTACAGGTGTTTCTCTTGGCATAACAGGCACCATTCTGAAGGGGATTCCAGGTACGGTCCTTGGCTGGTTGCCAGCGCAATCCTGGACGGGACTTAAGGCTGAATTTCCAGCGCAATCCCAGACATTAACACAGGAACGATCGCAAGCGGGATTCCCAGCGTGACCCGATCACAAGCGAGAAGCCAAGCGCGATCGCATACTCGATCCTGAACGGATCTCAGGAACGACTCCAAACGGGATTCCCAGCATGACACATGGGGGTAAAAGTTGGACACTATTCCGGGTGTGATCGTAGGCGGGATTCCCAACACGACCTCAGGCGGGATTCCCAACGAAATTCCCGGCGCAAAGCTGGCCGGGATACCAGTCTGGTGCCGGCGGGATTCCCCTCGTTCTTACTTTCTGACAAAATTAAATTACCTGTACTTAGGAAACGTATGTTCATCAGTTTCAACTTGAAGATGCGCTACTTTCTTCCTATAGATACTACACCACGGCTGAAAATGAATAAATGTAAAGCTCAATAATTATAAAGAACTTTCGTTTATGGAAGGCATGCATTCCTGTTTGATAAAAAAAAAAAACCGAATTTCACTGACAGGCAATTGAAATTTCGAGTTTGGTTCGAGTAGAGGGAGGAAAACCGTAGAAACTGAATAAGACATCTAGAATAAGAGAAAGGACCACTTATAAACTCACTCCATATGTGATGTCAGGTTCCGGATTAGAACCGAGCCCTTAGTGGACAAAGGCGTGTGATCTCGCCTCCGCGCCATCCTCCTCTTAAGTCAATTGTGGCCAACTTAATTTAAGGAAAATTTGGTCTTGTGGTTAAAAAATAGTAACAATATTCAATTTCTCAGCTATCTTCGTAGTAATAGTGCGTAAAGTGTTAAACTGTGGTATACAAACCCGCGCAAAACCCACAAAAAACAATTGTTTTTCTGTCAGTCCCAGTCCTGGCAGAGCCCCCTCGGTCCCTTCTTTTTGGACAAGTGTTTCGTACGCCTGAGAGGAGACAAATTCAAAATGAGACATATTTATTTCAAGAGTAGCCGAGATATTTTCAATTTACTTTGAATTCAAAATTATATAATAATCATACTTTGTATGCCAGTTTGATTCCTCCGTTGTCGGCGATGTTCTCGTTCTTTGTTTGATTCCCATTTATCTGCAAATAAACATACAAAAGTATTTGAAAAAAGTTCGTCTTACTCTATTGCTCTTTTCAAAATATCGCCCTCATTTCTGTCCTCAGACTCCCCACCTATTGGCTGGGGGAAGGAGGATTAGGGAATGGGTAGGTGTGGGAGAGATCGGTTCTGGGCCAAGAGT